AGATTCTCTCTCCAGCCTCATTTTTGTCACCAAAACCGTATCCACCATGCACCCTTTCATAACCTAGTTTATTTATGCCCACATGGCCATTAAAATCTCCACCTATAACTAGGTTCTCTCCTACGGGTATCTCCTGTAAGATCTCATCTATTTGCTCCAAAAAATCCCTCTTAGTCTGATCATTTAACCCTACTTGAGGGGCATAAGCGCTAATAATGTTCACTATATTCCCTCCAATAACTAGTTTAACTAGCATAATCCTATCTCTTTTCCTAGTGACCGTCACCACACTTTCCACAAGACCCTTGGCAATTATGATTCCTACCCCATTCCTGCGTCTATCCTTACCACTATAATAAAGTATAAAACCAATATCCTCAATTTCCCTAGCTTTCTCTCCCGTTCACTTAGTTTCTTGTATGCAAGCTATACTAACTCTCCTCCTAATCATAACATCTACCAATTCCATCGTCTTACCAGTTAAGGTTCCTATGTTCCAAGTGGCTACCCTAAATCTATAGTCTTGGACTAGCTTCTTTACCCGCGCTCGTCCAGAAAAACGCAGAAACCTTTGCCCATTTTTCACCGCACCCAGACGTCGATACGGCGCCCCTTGCTTACTTTTCGAAACACCCGGAAGTAGGTGCAACGCGTCACTTGAGGGGAACGACCTAGCATTTAAACGATTCAAAATAGGATTCATTTTCATAAGGGATCCGAACGGCTTTTTTACGTGTTGGCTATCGGCTACCTAACACACAACCCTCCTCCTTAACCCGGGCTTGGGACCAGCGGAGTTGTTAACAACCCCGGCGGAGTTAAATCTACTAAAATATTAAAAAAAAAATTACCAAACACAAACAACAAGAAAAACAAAAAACTAAAAAACTATTTTTGAAATATGTTTACCAAACATAGTAAAAGTTCAGTATGACGGTAATACCATATTACCATTGACACGTGATATTACCAACTAACAATAAACCTACACAAGAACGGAGCTATGCTATGGCCAAAGGTGGCCATGCCCTCTCCCCTCAAAAAAAAGTTCTTCAAAATTACACTATTACTTGTTAATTCTAAAATTATTTTGATATTGTACATGAAAAGGCCTTCTATATTCAAGATTAATTTTACAATGTGGATGGGATAATCCTTCTATTTTTTTTTTAATTTTAAAAATTTTACTACTCTTGTATTTCAAAGGGAAAATTACAAGATAGTAAAAGATGGAGAATGTATATATCAAAAGATGGGGTGCAATAAAATAACAATCTAATTTAAGATATTAACTAAATAACTCAAAAATTGTATGAAATAATTAAATAACTATTAGAAAATGACTGATACATGCTAATTTTTATTATTATTTTTAAATTGTTTATGTAAGAAATTGATTTTCTCATTTTTTTTTAACACTTAGCTTGTCCCTAAGGCTACCTAGGCGTCATGAGTTCAAATCACAGAAATAGTTTCTCCACGTGAGAATAAGGGTTGTGTATATTTGATCTTCCCAAATTCTATGACATTAAAAGCTTTGTGCATAGAGACTCTTTTCAACACTTACTTTGGCCCTCCTTGAATAAATTTTTGGCTCCGTCCCTGAACCTACTTGTGGATGGTGAACCTCACACATAATATAACTAACTTGTCACATATATATACATGAAAAGTTAAATGACAACATGTTATTGGATGGTGATACCAATAACATGGTATCACAATTGTATTGAATATTTTTTTTTCTTATTTGATGGATTTCTTAAATTTTGAAAATAGTCAAACTATATAAAATAAAATATTATTAATACAAATATTTTTTTTTAATAACTTTTATTTGCTTGATGGGGGATGGGATCCCATCAAGTGTTAGCTGCCATCGCCCCTAGATGGTGAAGTTCCATTCACATGTTTTTAGCAGTTTGTCACGTCCCATCAAATTACCTTGACAAAATTGTCTATCAAGAGGAAGACTCAAGGAAGGAAGGCTAATGAAAGATTCTGAAAGCTTCTGGAAGACTTGAGAGAATATGAGAATGTTGAACATAATTCTATACTATATATAGAAGGATCTAGAACATGTTCTAGAGAATTTAAATGAAGATTGGAGGAATTGAAGCAATAGAAGATTCTAGAATCTCCTAGAAAAATGGAAAAAGTAAAGGATTCTTGCACATACTTAGAATGAGGTAGATATTTGTATAAATATTTATAGAAAGAATTCTAAAACCCTCTTGTAAGGATGTGGAAGGCTTCCTTGAAGCTTTTATACCATTCATTTCTTGTATATTTTAGAATGTTCTAGAGAAGGCCTAAGTTGCCTATAAATAAAAGAGTGGCTCATTTGCTCCAATTCAATCTAAGACTTGTATATATTTTCTAAGGTAATTCTTCAAACTATCTTTGTGTTGCTTCTCTTGTTACAATTCTTTTGGGCTAGGCTGACTTAGTAGTTGTTCAACTTTTTTTTGATCGGCTTAGTAGTTGTTCAACTTATATGATATCGATTTATGTTTGTTAAAAATTCGTTTGTAATCGGTTCAATTTAAATATATTTAGAAATTTGTTAAGTTTTCAAGTCAAATTTGAATAAATTTATCACTTAGCTCAACTTGGTTGTATGACTATAAAAATCCAAATTATTCGAGCTCATCTTATGATTGGCTCGATTAAAAATTATTTAAGATCATCTGAAAAAATAAAGGGTAAATTACACCCCCTGAGGTTTGGGTTTAATATATATCACCTCTTGACGCTTGGAAAATTACATTAAGCCCCCAGTCATTGTAATTATTTAGACGGAATTAAGACATTGAACTCATGCACACTCTCTTTTGTTTTTTCTTTGCTTTACGTTCTCTTTTTTTTTCTCCCTTTCTTTACTTTTTTTTTTTAATGCAATTTCCTCTGTTTTTCTACTAGGAGTTGTTACCTTTTATATAAGTATGTGGGGTTTGTGAAATGAGACTATTAACCACAAGGGTGAGAATGTAATTTCCAAAACATCAAAGGGTGGGCAGTAATTGGACCAAACCTCAAAGAGTGTCAATGTAATTTATCCAAAAATAAATAACCTAATTTTCAATAACTTAATACTTATTTTAACCTGACTCGCTTATAACTCCAACTAACTATTAGAATCACTACAAGAAAAGTGGGTATAAAACACGGAACTGTTTGCGACGGCGTGTATACCGTCGCAAAAAGTGGTCTTTTGCGACGGCATATGAAGCCGTCTCAAATAAATATTTTCTGCGACGACAGTTCCCCTCACTAATAAGCACAATAAAAAGTCACTTAAATGCTGAAGTATTCGCGACGACACTGTATACCGTCGCAAAAATATATATTTTTTTAGACGGGTGAAATTTACCGTCGCAAATAGTGGACATTTGTGACGGGAATTCTCTGTCGCAAAAAAAACCCTTATTAAAATGGCATTGTTTTAACAAATGGATTTAATCATTTGTGACGGTTTTTCCATGCCGTTGCAAATAGTACTTAAAAATTTCATCTCCCTCCGTCAGCCGAAATGGCGCTCGATCAAATTCCCCAAAATCCCTAACACCTTTCTCCCTCAAAACCCCCCCCAAATCCCTAAATCCCCGAAATCCCTAAATCGAGTTCGTGTATCACAATCACAGAGACGAGTTCGAGTTCCCAAAGCGACGACAATCAGTATGCTCTCTCTCTCTCTCTCTCTCTCTCACACACACACACACACACACACACACACACAAACACATTGATATATTGTGGGAATGATTTTGTTTGTTTCCGTGAGTTTTCTCAACAAGCAAACACTAATCCGATCATACTCCGAAGGAACAAAACGCAACGCAACGCAACGCAGCATAACCTCTCTTTCTTTTCTTTTTTTGGGTTCTGGAAAGATGGGATGACAAATATGGTTGGTGGTGATATTGTGCATGGGTGTCTTGGTTTCATCGTCGTTGGGTGCTGTTCAATCGGACGAGCTCCTGGTGGACGACGAAGAGTACGGACTCGAAGGGGTCCGATCTCCCCCTGATCTCCTCACTAGTACTAGTCCATCTGCATCTGCTGTTCCGATAAGTAGTAGGAGGAGGAGGTCTTCGGATCTCGATTCCGACTCCAAGGTCCAGTTCTCCCTTGAGCACGCCTTCGGTGACTCCCACTTCTCCCTCGCCGGCACCTTCACCAATACAAAGTAAGAAAGGATGTAAACAAGATAATAAACAACTACCAACATCCACAGACACATGTCCGGATCACTATACAACAAGGGTAAATCCGGGATCGCTATACAAAACATCAAAGGGTGGGTAGTAATTGGACTAATTTACCCAAAAATAAATAACCTAATTTTCAATAACTTAATACTTATTTTAACGTGACTCGCTTATAACTCCAACTAACTATTAGAATCACTACAAGAAAAGTGGGTATAAAACACGGAACTGTTTGCGACGGCGTGTATACCGTCGCAAAAAGTGGTCTTTTGCAACGGCATATGAAGCCGTCTGAAATAAATATTTTCTGCGACGACAGTTTCCCCTCACTAATAAGCACAATAAAAAGTCACTTAAATGCTGAAGTATTCGCGACGGCACTGTGTACCGTCGCAAAAATATATATTTTTTTAGACGGGTGAAATTTACCGTCACAAATAGTGGACATTTGTGACGGGAATTCTCTGTCGCAAAAAAAACCCTTATTAAAATGGCATCGTTTTAACAAATGGATTTAATCATTTGTGACGGTTTTTCCATGCCGTTGCAAATAGTACTGAAAAATTTCATCTCCCTCCTTCAGCCGAAATGGCGCTCGATCAAATTCCCCAAAATCCCTAACACCTTTCTCCCTCAAAACCCCCCAAATCCCTAAATCCCCGAAATCCCTAAATCGAGTGCGTGTATCACAATCACAGAGACGAGTTCGAGTTCCCAAAGCGACGACAATCAATATGCTCTCTCTCTCTCTCTCTCTCTCTCTCTCTCTCTCTCACACACACACACACACACATTGATATATTGTGGGAATGATTTTGTTTGTTTCCGTGAGTTTTCTCAACAAGCAAACACTAATCCGATCATACTCCGAAGGAACAAAACGCAACGCAACGCAACGCAGCATAACCTCTCTTTCTTTTCTTTTTTTGGGTTCTGGAAAGATGGGATGACAAATATGGTTGGTGGTGATATTGTGCATGGGTGTCTTGGTTTCATCGTCGTTGGGTGCTGTTCAATCGGACAAGCTCCTGGTGGACGACGAAGAGTACGGACTCGAAGGGGGCCGATCTCCCCCTGATCTCCTCACTAGTACTAGTCCATCTGCATCTGCTGTTCCGATAAGTAGTAGGAGGAGGAGGTCTTCGGATCTCGATTCCGACTCCAAGGTCCAGTTCTCCCTTGAGCACGCCTTCGGTGATTCCCACTTCTCCCTCGCCGGCACCTTCACCGCTCGCCTCAAGACCTCTTCTCATGGCTCCCGGGTTCTTCTTCTTCTTTTTCTTCCTCCCTCCCTCCTTGTTTGCTTGTTGACAAAACTCACTGAAACAAACAAACTTGTATATATTCGAATTCATTATCTCATGCTTTTGCTCTATTACGTGTATTGTGGGAATGATTTTAGAGATTGATTTTGCTCTCTTCTGTTCTCTGTGTGTACTACTACTAGTAGTAGTCTGTTTGGTTGCTGCCAAAATTAAGGGAAAATAAATAGGAACCAAACAAACTTGGAAATATTATATTTTGTTTTTGGATTTAGTTCTTGAGATGAGTTTTTTATTTTTATTTATTACATCTTGGATTGATTTTACTTTTATTGTTTTTGGTTTGCTGATGGAAACTAAGAGAGACAGAAATTTGGAATATTAGTTTCAGTAACTATGAGGGTTACTTACAGTCAGAACTACTGAGCAGAACAAAATGAATCTGAATTCTCAATCTTATGTATCATGTTGCATTGCTTATTCAAACTTTAGGAAAATAAAATTCATGAAAGCAAACCGAACTAGTTGTCCTTGTCTAATTACTCTTACCTCAACTTTAATTTTTATTTTTCAAACTGTCTTCTATTCGGTTAACACAATGGCACATCATGCCTTTTAATTCCTGGTTTTAAAATTTTTATCCTTGGGACATCACATCTTGGAATATTTAAATATATGTACATATTTGGTCTTCAAATGCTATATATAATTCTTAGTTACGCAACGACATAATTCATCAGCATAAATCTTTTCAGAAAACAAGTTCTACACTTTTTTGGCAATTTTATTTCCTTGGAAATTTACCTGCCCTATCTTTCTTATTTACTTTTTATTTATTAAGCATGCTTGAGTGTTTCAATTACATTCCTTTTGTTAGTTTAACGTTATAAGTTGCTTGTAACAGACTCTCACCAAACTTCGCTTTTCAAGGGAGGCTTTTACTGAAACAGACAAGGAAAAGTTCAAGGTAATTCCCTATCCACATTTATCTGGTTTCAATATTAATATTTTTGTTGTGTGTTTGGTTAGAGAGTAAGATAATTGGAGAAATTTTAAAAAAAGAGGAAAAAGAAGGAATTAGAAAGTACATTTATATTTCTTCTTGTCCAATTGAAAAAGGGAGTGCATAGAAAATTTAAGGAAGGAAAACAGCTGCATCGAATTTAAGCAGTTGTAACTTGTTCTTGATTTGTTGTACCAAATAATTTTCTTCCCAAATTTTGTCCCATTTGTGGCAAGTGCAGGACAAAGTTTTTTATAAATCATTCACTTTATTTTCTTCTTGAATGTCACAGTGAAATCAAGGAAACTAAAGTATTTTCCCTCCATAAAAGTCTATGGTTCTATTCCTTTTTCCCTCCATCAAGAGTTATTTATTTACTTTTAAAATGAGCAACTGAGCATTGTGCAATGTTGATGCAATGATCTTGCAGAAGCTATTGGAAGGTGATGACTTCTACAGGATAAGAGTGCCATCCAATGTGTTGAGCCCTCCTGGAAGGGAGTATATTATTTCGTCAGTGAAAGTGGCAAGTCTTCTATAAACCATGTTGAATGCATTAGTGTATATACATATGTATTTGCTATTTGGTTTTTGCTTTTGGCTATGGAAGTTTAGAAATTGATGACCTTTAGAATGAGAAGTTGAGGGTTAGACAGGAATAAAGAGAAGAGAACATGAGAAAGCTTTAGCAATTGCACCTAGATTCTTTAAGTATTTCTCCCGAGGAAGGATGCATCACACATCCTCAAGTAATATGCTTTGAAAAATTTCTACAATAATATTACGGTTTTTCGCATAATTTTATGGTTAACTCGAATTATGAAATATGTTTGCTAGGGGAATCTTTGATTACACATGTCAAACACTCATGACATATACTGTGGCCTTACCCAAGTGTTGAGTGCCCTGCATGGGTACATATATTTAGAAGAATCCATGTAACATTGCCTAAGCCGTAGCTTTGTACCTCAGATCAATTGAGCTAGTTGAGTTGGGGAAGTTTGTTGGAGGTTGATCCCCTTGAGCTATAAGAAAATACAGGGTTTCACAGCCCGATGAAGAAGAAAACAATGAGTTTGGGTCTGGGTCTGCAGTTTCTATTTCCCATCTCTCTCTCTCTCTCTCTCTCTCATCCATTCCTTCTACTTCTATTCAATGCATTTGTTATAAAAAAAAAATACAGAACTAGATAACATGTCTTCTTTTGATCTCTCTTTAAGCTTCTGCAATTAGAACTCCTGCAACAGAAAGAAACTGACAATTTATGACAAGCCCGAGTGTTTAGAATCCTATGCTTTTCTGGGTTGAATTTGTCTAACTGGTGCCTGGGCTGCCTTACTGGGGCTGTTGTCTTGGTCCTGATAGCTCATTAGTTTAAACTTGTTCTTATAAAGTATGTCGTCTAAACAATTCTTAAAGTTGAAATGATTATTGCTTTTAGTTTTTCATGTGATTCCAAAGTATTGTAGCACAACACAACGTTTTAATTTTGTTATGGATTCAATTATTTTAAATATGTGAAACAGGAAATTCATAATCTTTCAGCTCAAATGCTTCTGTTAACATTTGTAGTTTTGTTCAGTTGAAAACAATTGGATAAAATGTGACCGTTGACTCAACAATGATGACAAACAAAAGTAGACGTAGGTTTCGACAACTCTCTTTCTTAGGTTCAACCTTGGGTGGAGGAGCTGTAGGTTGACTAGTTGAGGGACTAGAGACCTCACCCTTGGTTTGACAAAAACAGTCTGGAATTGTTTTCCAATTAAGTGCTCATATCCTAAACCACTCATGTCAAAGGGATGCTTGCTTATGCCTATAAGATGGTTAATTGACCCAGTCTCACTTGTCATTTTTACTACAGACACCTTAGACACTCAATTCTTGTTCCAATTCAACTATCCCACTGATCTGCAATTTATTGCCTCTATTTCAGCCTGCAAAGTGGTCATTCAACTCACACACTGTCTTAAAGTACAGTGAGCAGGCACCAAGGTAAATACCTCATGCATTGCCTTAATCTTTCCATTTTTTAAAATAAAAGTTTTATGAAGGATTTGATTAAATTTGTATTGGACCTCAGAGGTTAAGCTTTTAGAAATCAACTTTTGATATTGAGAGAAGTATATGCGACTGTGAATCACTCTAATGAATTTGGTGGTCTCCTTGTATAATATGTGACATTGTAATCCACCTGCATGTTCAAAATATCCACAGCCCACCATATCCGATGAACTTGTAATCCTACTGCATTTTCATCTAATGCCCAACTACATTTCCCATTTGACCATGAAGAAAATTATCATATTTTGTCTTTCCATTTGCATTTGCAAGTTAGTTAATACAATTCTTGAAACAGAACTCTAGCAATTGCAGAAGAGATACTTGGTGGTGAGAATGGACATGGTGAAGGTTTAAAGCCACCAGAAAGGTCCTTTTTGGCTAAATATGTAAGTATTTAATGAAGTTGAATCTATTGCATTCTTTGAATGCATATGAAGACAATCACATTATTGTCTGTTCTTTTAGGAAACACTTATTTATTCTGTAGTAGCACCTCATGTTATCATTTGGGAGACAGCAATTTGTGCTTAATGAGCATCCAGAGAGCCCAGCTGTCACCAAGAATTACATGTTATTGATGATCTTTGTTCGATCTCTCTCTCTCTCTCTCTCTCTCTCTAAAGAATTTTTGGAATCATTTGTCATGATATCATTACAGGTGTTAAAAAATTCAACTGTAATGTTAGAGTATTTGGACTTCTTGGTGACTTCGAGGCATAAACACAACTAATTCCTTAAGAAATTTCAATTTGAGGTGTTGACGTCCCAAAATCACCAAACGACGTTGGTTTAGCACGAAACTTAGCACACACAAATGCCTACGCACGAGAGATTTGTGGGAGAAGACGGGACTCCAATCGGGTTCCCGGTTTGGGAGTTAGTGCCGGATTTCACTCTAGGCAAACTAGTTCTTTAAGAAACTTGAATTGGAGGTGTTGACGCCCCAAAATCACCAAACGGGGTCGAATTAGGACAAAACTTAGCACACACGACCGCTTAGGCACGAGAGACTTGTGGGAGAAGACGGGGCTCGAATCGGGTTCCCAGTTTGGGAGTTAGAGCCGAATTTCACTCTAGGCAAACTAGTTCTTTAAGAAACTTGAATTCGAGGTGTTGACGCCCCAAAATCACCAAACGGAGTCGGATTAGCACGAAACTTAGCACACAAGACCGCTTAGGTACGAGAGACTTGTGGGAGAAGACGGGAGTCGAATTGGGTTTCCGGTTTGGGAGTTAGAGCCGGATTTCACTCTAGGCAAATTAGTTCCTTAAGAAACTTGAATTCGAGGTGTTGACGCCCTAAAATCACCAAACGGGGTCGGATTAGCACGAAACTTGGCACACATGACCGTCTAGGCATGGGAGACTTGTGGGAGAAGACAGGACTCCAATCGGGTTCCCGGTTTGGGAGTTAGAGCCGGATTTCACTCTAGGCAAACTAGTTCCTTAAGAAACTTGAATCGGAGGTGTTTACGCCCCAAAATCACCAAATGGCGTCGGTTTTGCACGAAACTTGGCAATGGGAGAAGACAGGACTCCAATCGGGTTCCCAATTTGGGGGTTAGAGCTGGATTTCGGTCGAGGCAAACTAGTTTATTAAGAAATTTGAATTGGAGGTGTTGACGTCTCAAAATCACCAAACGGCATCGGTTTAGCACGAAACTTGGCACACACGACCGCCTAGGCACGAGAGACTTGTGGGAGAAGACGGGACTCCAATTGGGTTCCCGGTTTGGGAGTTAGAGCCAGATTTCGGTATAGGCCAATTAGTTCCTTAAGAAACTTGAATTTGAGGTGTTGACGCCCCAAAATCACCAAACGGCGTCGGTTTAGCACAAAACTTGGCACACACGACCGCCTAGACACGAGAGAGTTATGGGAGAAGACGAGACTCCAATCGGGTTCCCGGTTTGGAAGTTAGAACCCGATTTCACTATAGGCAAACTAGTTCCTTAAGAAACTTGAATTGGAGGTATTGACGCTCCAAAATCACCAAACGGCGTCGGTTTAGCACGAAACTTGGCACACACGACCATCTAGGCATGAGAGACTTGTGGGAGAAGATGGGACTCCAATCGGGTTCCCGGTTTGAGAGTTAGAGCCGGATTTCACTCTAGGCAAACTAGTTCCTTAAGAAACTTGAATTCGAGGTGTTGATGCCCCAAAATCACCAAACGGCATCGGTTTAGCACGAAACTTGGCACACACGACCGTCTAGGCATGGGAGACTTGTGGGAGAAGACGGGACTCCAATCGGATTCCCGGTTTGGGAGTTAGTGCCGAATTTCACTCTAGGCAAACTAGTTCCTTAAGAAACTTGAATTGGAGGTGTTGACGCCCCAAAATCACCAAACGGGGTCGAATTAGGACGAAACTTAGCACACACGACCGCTTAGGCACGAGAGACTTGTGGGAGAAGACGGGGCTCAAATCGGGTTCCCAGTTTGGGAGTTAGAGCCGAATTTCACTCTAGGCAAACTAGTTCTTTAAGAAACTTGAATTCGAGGTGTTGACGCCCAAAAATCACCAAACGGAGTTGGATTAGCACGAAATTTAGCACACAAGACCGCTTAGGTACGAGAGACTTGTGGGAGAAGACGGGGGTCGAATTGGGTTTCCGGTTTGGGAGTTAGAGCTGGATTTCACTCTAGGCAAATTAGTTCCTTAAGAAACTTGAATTCGAGGTGTTGACGCCCCAAAATCACCAAACGGGGTCGGATTATTACGAAACTTGGCACACAAGACCGCCTAAGCATGAGAGACTTATGGGAGAAGACGGGACTCCAATCGGGTTCCTGGTTTGGGAGTTAGAGCCCGATTTCGGTCTAGGCAAACTAGTTCCTTAAGAAACTTGAATTCGAGGTGTTAATGCCCCAAAATCACTAAACGGCGTCGGTTTAGCACAAAACTTGGCACACACGACCGCTTAGGCACGAGAGACTTGTGGGAGAAGACGGGACGTCAATCGGGTTCCCGGTTTGGGAGTTAGAGTCATATTTCGGTATAGGCAAACTAATTCTTTAAGAAACTTGAATTAGAGGTGTTGACGTCCCAAAATCACCAAACGGTGTCAGTTTAGCACGAAACTTGGCACATACGACCGCCTAAACACGAGAGACTCGTGGAAGAAGACGGGACTCCAATCGGGTTCCTAGTTTGGGAGTTAGAGCCCGATTTCGCTATAGGCAAACTAGTTCCTTAAGAAATTTGAATTGGAGGTATTGATGCCCCAAAATCACCAAACGGCATCGGTTTAGCACGAAACTTGGCACACACGACCGTCTAGGCATGGGAGACTTGTGGGAGAAGACGGGACTCCAATTGGGTTCCCGGTTTGGGAGTTAGAGCCGGATTTCACTCTAGGCAAACTAGTTCCTCAAGAAACTTGAATTGGAGGTGTTTACGCCCCAAAATCACCAAATGGCGTCGGTTTTGCACGAAACTTGGCAATGGGAGAAGACAGGACTCCAATCGGGTTCCCGATTTGGGGGTTAGAGCTGGATTTCGGTCGAGGCAAACTAGTTTATTAAGAAATTTGAATTGGAGGTGTTGACGCCCCAAAATCACCAAACGGCATCGGTTTAGCACGAAACTTGGCACACACGACCGCCTAGGCACGAGAGACTTATGGGAGAAGACGGGACTCCAATTGGGTTCCCGGTTTGGGAGTTAGAGCCAGATTTCGGTATAGGCAAACTAGTTCCTTAAGAAACTTGAATTTGAGGTGTTGACGCCCAAAATCATCAAACGGCGTCGGTTTAGCACAAAACTTGGCACACACGACCGCCTAGACACGAGAGAGTTATGGGAGAAGACGAGACTCCAATCGGGTTCCCGGTTTGGAAGTTAGAACCCGATTTCACTATAGGCAAACTAGTTCCTTAAGAAACTTGAATTGGAGGTATTGACGCTCCAAAATCACCAAACGGCGTCGGTTTAGCACGAAACTTGGCACACACGACCATCTAGGCATGAGAGACTTGTGGGAGAAGATGGGACTCCAATCAGGTTCCCGGTTTGGGAGTTAGAGCCGGATTTCACTCTAGGCAAACTAGTTTCTTAAGAAACTTGAATTGGAGATGTTTACGCCCCAAAATCACCAAATGGCGTCGGTTTTGCACGAAACTTGGCACACATGACCGTCTAGGCACGAGAGACTTATGGGAGAAGACAGGACTCCAACCGGGTTCCCGGTTTGGGGGTTAGAGCCGGATTTCGGTCTAGGCAAACTAGTTTATTAAGAAATTTGAATTGGAGGTGTTGACGTCCCAAAATCACCAAACGGCGTCGGTTTAGCACGAAACTTGGCACATGCGACCGCCTAGGCACGAGAGACTTGTGGGAGAAAATGGGACTCCAATCGGGTTCCCGATTTGGGAGTAAGAGCCAGATTTCAGTATAGGCAAAATTATTTACTTAATTATATATGTAATTATATAGTAGTTAATTTTTTATGTTTTTTTGTAATTAAAATATTAACACATAATTATATTGTCATTAATTATTTTTATTTTTTGTTTTCAAATATTTCTCGAGTAGCAGTTTGCTTTTGTGGAATACAGGTGTTTGAAGATTGCGATTTACTTTTATTTTTGTTACCCACAGAAGAATCATGAGGGAAACTTTTGTTTTTGATTTACGTTATTTTGAATTGTGAACGACATTATGTATTTAAACATTGTGTATGTATTATGCAATATTATGTAGTGGGATAATTTTGCTAATGTGTTGTAATGAATGAATGCAAGAAAATTTTTGTTATGGATGAATTGTTATTTTTATACTGAAATTTTTATATTATTATGTAATTATTGGTTTCTTTTTCAATTATTTGTCATTTAATACAGGTAATTTTCATATTTTTAATAATTTTATTGCAGTTTTTTTTTTTTTTGAGACGGCACCACATTACCGTCGTAAATAATATTGGCAGAATTGAGGTAAAGCCTTTTGCGACGGTACCCTTAGCCGTCGCAAATAATCTTTTAGCGACGGGCATCGTGCTGTCTCAAATATTTTTTTAGTGACGGCAGGTACCCCGTCGCAAAAAATTCTTTAGAGACGGCTTTTTTGTCGTCGCAAATAACACCTTTAGCGACGGGAAAATACTGCCGTCTCAAAAAATTTCAGATTTTTCTATAATAATGGCGATGGAAAAGTTACGTCGCAAAAAAGGCAACTTGCCGTCACAAAAAAAGGTGACGGCAACATGCCGTCGCTAAAACCTTTTTGCGACCCCCTTTGTTGCGACCCCCCACTAGCCGTCGCTAAAATTCATCTGCTGTCGCAAAAAACCTTTTGAGACGGCATTTTGCCATCGCAAAAAGTCAATTTTTTTGTAGTGAATTATGTTTCTCTTTATTCTCACATAGTGATTAGTATCATTTCATTTTTATTTTTTATTTTTTTGTGAATATTTTACTATTTGACAAATACAACATCAAAGCAACTTTTATATATATATATATTAAAGTGAATTTGTGATTGTTTATATCATGAAATTAAACATAGTATCCAAAACATAAGTTGTATGTCAAATTTCAGCAAATTCTTACTGACATGAATATTGCATGATTCGCTTAGGTTGCATGAGGAATTAAAGAAGCAAGTTTGCGTGATTTACTAATATATATATATATATATATATATTTGATTATAGATACTGTTCATTTTATAAATGTATTTTGTAAATATTATTTAAACAACGGTAATTTACACTTTGCCCCCTTAAAATTTCATTCATTTTTCATTTTGACCCTTTAAGTTTAATTTTTTTCACTTGACCCTTCATATTTGCAATCCTTTTCACTTTGGCTTTTTAAGTTTAATTTTTTCCATTTTGGCCCATCATGTTTGCAATCCATCTCACTTTGGCCCTTCATATTTGTAATCTTTCCCATTTTATTCTTAGAATAACTTCTATCCAAAAAACTAACATAATCTGCCACATCACTAATACATCAGTTCCATGTGTGATGTAAAAAATTCACTAAAAATGCAAAAAAACAGAAAATAGAAAACAAAAAAAATTAGAATTTTTTTTTTAGTCTTATTTAACTTTTTTTCAAATTTATTCATAAACATTATCACATTATGGATGCATCTAGATTAGATGCTGCTAAAAAAATTAAAAAAATTAATTAAGAAAAGAAAAAAGTTTACTCAAGACGAAAAAAATGAAAATATATTACTCAAACATCTATATTGTCAATTCTAAAATGAAAAATTTACTATCATTTTTTTCGTCGTTAGTGAACTTTTTCCTTTTTTTTAGTTAAATTTGTTTTTATTTTTTTGGCTGCATCTAATCAAAATGCATCTATAATGTAATAATGTTTATAAATAAATTTGGGGAAAAAAAAAGTTCACTAAAAGACTAAAAAAAATTTCAATTTTTTTGTTTTTTATTTTTTATTTTTTGCATCTTTAGTAAATTTTTTACATCACATATGGAGCTGATGTGTTAGTAACGTGACAAATTCTGTTATTTTTTTGGATGGAAGTTAGTTTAGGAGTAAAGTAGGAATGATTGCAAACATGAAGGGTCAAAGTGCGAAGGATTACAAATATGAAGGGCCAAGGTGGGAAACATCAAATTTAAAGGGGCAAAGTGGGAAGGATTACAAACATGAAAGACTAAAGTGGGAAGAATTGTAAACATAAAGGGCCAAAATGAGAAAAATCAAACTTAAAAGGTCAAAGTGAAAAATGAGTGAAACTTTAGAGGGGGCAAAGTGTAATTTACCCTTTAAAAAAATGGAATGATTCTATTTGAGAAAAATAACTCAATAATAGTTAGATAGAGAGAGTCAAATCGGAATGAAGAGGAGGTTATTGAATACTAGCTTATTTACTTTTCAAGATGATTTCATATAAGGTCAAGTGTTATGTTATTCAAACTTATTTTTAATTCAAGTGAGTAGTTTTTTTAGGACAGACAATTCAAGTGAATAGTTTAGATTTTTAAATGTATTTAAAATGAGTTGACTACAATCAAATTTTTAATGAGTTAAATTCAAATAGAACTCGAATAAGTTGAATAACTCTAGAAACATATGAATGGAACTTCAACATAAGAAAAAAAACAAAAAGGTGAGGTTACAATGTGCACTTATATATTATAGGAAAAATTATACTTTTTGTGAGACAAATTATATATTTTGTGAGGTGAAAGTTATAGATTTTAAAATTATGATGTGCACATAAAAGTCATGTATAATTAAAGTTATATTTTTTATGAGATAAGTTATACATTTTGTGAGAAGTAAAAAGTTATATTTTTTTGTGAAAAAAAAAAATTACAGTGCATTTTTTGCAGCAAAAGTTATACATTTTGTGAGAGAATCAATGGTTTTATTTATTTATTTATTTTAACCCCAAGGATTGAATGAATTGGTAAAGTAAATGACCTGCCTAACCGTAGATCCTAGGTTCAAGACGTTCCAAAATATTTGGTAGCTCAAAATTTTGTGGCTCAAATGGCTCAAATCTGTCAAAACGACGTCGTTTTACACTTAAAATCTGTCAAAACGACGTCGTTTTGCACTCAAAATCTATCAAAACGACGTCGTTTTGAGTTATTTGAGCCATTTGAGCCACAAAATTTTGAACTACCTAGCATTGTTGCAAAACCTTACTTGACTAAAATATCCTTCCTGCGGTTTGCTTGTAGGGTTAGGGTTCCCAGGCCATCAAAAAAAAAAAAAATCCTTTGACTAAAATATCCATCCCATGGTTTGCTTGAAGGGTTATGGTTCCCAAGTCATCAAAAAAAAAAAAAAAAGAAAAAAGTCATCATCATGTTTAGTTTTAAAAAATTGAGTAAACTTTTTAAAAAATTTAAAAAAAGTTAAAAAAAATTCACCAAAAACAAAAAATAAACAAAATTCGATACATTTTTTTATTTTGTTATATTCAATCAATTTTTAGAAGATTTTTATATAATTTTTTATTTTTATTTTTTAAGTATAGTAAGATTAAGTAGATTCAATTTAAAAATTATTAAAAATACAAAAATCGGAGTTAAAAACTCAGTAAAACATAAAACTAATAAAAAAGCCAATGGTTGTTGTACTCTGCTTAACAATCCACAAAATTGCTCTGCTTAACCTTTTTAAAAAATTTTAAAAAAATTATAAAAAATTCACCAAAAACAAAAAATAAACAAAATTCGATACATTTTCTTATTTTGTTATATTCAATCAATTTTTAGAAGATTTTTATATAATTTTTTTTTTATTTTTTAAGTATAGTAAGATTAAGTAGATTCAATTTAAAAATTATTAAAAATACAAAAATCGGAGTTAAAAACTCAGTAAAACATAAAACTAATAAAAAAGCCAATGGTTGTTGTACTCTGCTTAACAATCCACAAAATTGCTCTGCTTAACAATCTTAAAATAAAACTAATCAAAAAGCCAATTTCAACATAATATATAAACAAAAACACAACAAAATCATATGCAGAATTACACAGTACATAAACAAAAAGACAATAAAAAAATTACACAAAAATTTTATACAGAATGATGGGACTGACTTAATCAAAATCTTTCACTTAAAAAGTCAATCCTATATGACAAATGAACCAACCGCAACAAAAATCAAATATGAACACTTCCATGTCATTGAACACAAAAGTACATATATAACAAATTTTCAGTTTTATGTATGAAAAAGTACACAAACACTAGCAAGCAAAACAGAATTTGATGGATCAACAAATAACAAAAATTTGCAACCAACACCCTTACAACAAGCTATCAGTCCTAGCTGGCAGCCGGCGGAAGAAATTGAGCGGGGCTGACGGCAACTTATGTCGAAACCTAGGATGCCTCATCACATAAAAACCGGCAATGGCAGCTAATACCTTTAATGGAGTAGAGTACAACACAACGGCAGCAAAAAGGCAGAATGTCACGAAAATAGTTGTAGCACGTGGATCGCGCCAGCTCAGCAAAGCCTGAACCCGCTCACCTTGACTTGCCACATCACCCACCACGGTCTGAATCTTACCTGCCACACTTCTCAACCGATCATACCTATATCGGACCAAATCTGCACTTTTTGAAGTGGGAAACGTGTCGAATTCCTCATCAAGCTCGTCAGGGTGCACGGCGTCAGCACAGGAAATCCTTGTGTTCATGTGAGGAGGATATTTTGCACGAAACCGGTAGTTCCAAAGGCCTATTAGGAACATGTATAGGAACACTGTGGGCAAAATGAGTTCGGGAAAACAAACTAGCATCACATAGAGTACGTGTACTAGCACGGTTGTGATCCAGTTTTTCCACATACAAACCTCACCAAACCACTTTCCAACGGAAAATAGCCCGTTGAAAACCGACATTAGCCTAAAAAAGCTTGCCTTGCTCCGCCTCATGCTCCACAAATGCGAATGTGCGTCGGTCATGTACTCAATGACTTCCTTTCTAAGAGGGGGCTCGGCTCTGCTAAGCCGAGCCGCCACTATGTTGACGGCTTGGTGGCGAAGCAAATCGAGTTGTAACACGGTCAACGGCCTCACATAGTGCATTTTTGGCAATAGCGGGCGCGAGTATATAAACATCATGTTAACCATCGATGTGCACGAAAACCGAATTGCCATATGTAACTCCCCCATTTTCTTCACCCCAGAAGGGTGAAGGACTAGCAACGGATACGTATGTGTGTAAACGCGACCAGTTTCAAGAGTAGAGAGTCGAATACGAACCTTCCCAATTTTCACATCCCGATTACCGTTTGAGCCTTTGTCCCCAAGCTGAGCGTTGTCAAAAACGCCCACGGTGAGCACCGTGGCAGGATCAAAGACCTCCCATGTGTACTGCTCATTATATTTTGGGTTCAAGCTATCGATGATCGTTCTGGTTCGAACCCATTTGTGACCGTACTTTGCTACACAATACGTGTCAGATGTACCCCTTCCATCTCTTGTTTTCATTGGGTGGAGCGCGTCAGCATTCAAAATCCCAAGTTCCAATACCCCAATTGATTTTTTCCAGAGCTGCCTCGCTGTGGGGTGGAGATCGCTGCTGTACTGAGTTGACTCATCAAGCACGTGGTACCCCCCATCGAGACAGATTCGGAGTTGAAGCCTAGTAGAAAACTTTTTATCCTTATCTTTCTTCGACGGTTCCACATCATCTGAACTCGGTTTCTGAACATTGTACCAGCAGGAGTGAACAGGACGATCATCAGCACGCCTTTCAACAGAGCTCAATGGCACAATGACCTTCCCAAGGACCTCATCCTTGTTGGGTCCCACGCGATCTTCAACAGTTAGAATCAAGTGATCCCACGGTCTTCAACTGTAAGGAATAAATGATCTTCAAAGGGTTCAGAAGCGACAAACATGAGATCCTCATTCCAAAATGCATTCATCGTTCGAGCTTGAACTGGTTTAGTCTTCAAAAGTTGGTTACCAATCGCTGCCTTAATGTATACGTCCGGAAACCGAGTCTTTTCAGCTAAAACCAAGTCTTGTACCTCAATCACATTAACCCGGACATACCATAACCTCGGGGCATGGTAGACTTTGGACCGGATTTGTGTGGAGCCAAATGAGCTGTCAACAGGGGAAACTGCATCTGAATGCCAAGCATCAGGAAATGCTTCATCCGCTTGCGTTCCAATCCAAACAGCAAGCATCAATTCCCCTTTCTTTTTCTCGCCTTTTTTGTCTTCTAAACGGTACCATTCTGGCGCCAACGGGCTATCTGGAGGGACACGCGTAGGGACCTCATTAAGATCAAACCGAACTATCCCAGCAAAGTCATCTTTCACCAAATCCTTATCCATAACGACAACTTCCAAGACCGATGATTGCATTCTCTCTTTGGAAAATGCAAACACTGCATTCCACTCAGGGTTCTGGTTTTTCTCAAAGTGCCTTGTGATTCCTTTATAGTTCCCAATGCGGACTTCAACATAAGGATCAAGGCTCCCAGAAAGGTCCTTCGTAGGGAGGTCCCGGGCCTTCACAACACGCACAAAAAGGAATTGCATTGGCTCGACAAGATCATAAGTGCTAGCAGGTTTGTCTGCACGAATAACACGTCCCCCAACAATTCGTCCCCCTCCAAGGACTGGGCTTGTCTCTTTAAGTGCAAATTCAGCCGGTTGTGATGAGGAAGCAGAGTACATGCGCACGATTTTAGGAGCTTGTGGTCCAGCTCTCATCTCATCAGCCCCATATCTTACTGGTGGCTGGATCACCGGGGCAGAAAACTGAGGCTGATTCTGTGGGTTGTTTGTGTTTGGAAGATGCTGAAATGTGCGTCTTGATCTTGGCTCATTGTTTTTGTTGGAAAATGGGTTTGGGACAAAGTTCGGAAGTTGTTGAGGGGGTGCTTGAGCTTGGGTAGGGTATGAATTTGGGTATGAATTTGTATACATCGAAGATTCCATTTCAGGAAGGGGATTTGACGATCTAATGGAAGGATTATCAGTAAAAAAAACTTTCAAGCCAAGCTCACCTCTTACACGTGAAAAAAGGCCTTTTCTCTCTAGAGGGTAATGTAAAATTACAGCATCAGAGTAAGGTACAAATGATGTCCCGTTGATGCTAACCTTGCCAAGGCATGATTTGGAGTGGTTTGCTTGTACATTGTTGTAGACATAGGCATGGAGAGTGAGTTCAGATAAGTTGTTTGGATCAGAGATATTGAAATAGAAAGTTTCATTCCAAGCAGGGTCCAGATCTTTTTCTTTGACGGTGGTCCGGAATCTCTGATTATCAAAGTGAAGCTCCACGTAGGAGCTAGATGAGCCCTGCCCGTCTTTGGGAAGAAGGTTGTGTGCGCTCACAACCTCCACAACTAACTTCAGATTGCTCATGGCGGTTTATCAACAAAATTGCGACAAATGGTAACAAGAAACGAGTTGTGCCTGAAAAGGAAGGAATAACACGCGTAATTAATGGTAAATTCCAACAACCTAAAAATAAATTTTAAAGAAGAAAAAGTTATAGAAAAGTAAAAAACAACCTATTGCATCAACGAAACAATGTAACAAAAAAACAGATATAGAGGGCATTGTCCAAAGTGATTATCAAACAAAATATGAGGTCAAAATACAAGAAATAGAGTACTTTTGATTCTAAAAACTGGTTTAATAAGTTGGAGAAACCAAGGTTATTAAATGCGAATTTTCAAGAAAGAGAACCTATAATTAGAGAATTTGAGAATTTTAAGTCTGAAAGTCTTGAAATCTCAGCTGAACTCAACAAAGTCTCAACGCAATTATATCAGACATCAAAAAGGTAAGAGCCAGATTCCATCGAATCACAGACAAATACATCGCTTCCTAACATCTCACAAGAAGGAATTAATCAATGAAATATCTAGTATTGAGAGAAACAATGTATTCACATGACTACAAAAATAAGAAGAGGGACGGCAGAGCTTCTTTTTTTTGTGTGTGTTGCAAAAAGTAGAACAATAAAAATAAATGGCGAAAGCCTGATCGAATTGACCGTGCTTAGTTCCTGTTCATCTCTATCTATCAAAAATAGACCCTCTTTGAAATGGAAAAAGATCATTTTACAATCACCAGCAAAGATAAAAAATCTTCCAAGGAACAAGTTTATTTCTTTTTTCCTAAAAACAATAGCTGGACTTTTGAAACATGTCTTCAAAATCCACATTCTCTAAAACTTTTTACAAATCTCACAAAACAACTTCCATTTTCTATAAAAACAAGTGCCGGATGACTTAAACGGTTTACATGTCACATTGTAATTTTGAAGCTGTACTTGAATTGAATTTCAAACGCTGTTCTAAGTTCCCTGATGTCATGCACGTCTTAAACAAATCACAAACAAATAAAATTGAGATTTGTAAAAGTACGCTTAAGAGAAACACACACACACAAAAAAAAAAAAGGAACTAAGCATTAAAAATAAATAAATAAAAGAGCTTATCTACAATAATTTCAGATTTAGGAAGTCTTAAACAATGTCAAACCTCAAGTAACCAATGCCGCATATGATCATTTTTCTCACACAAGAGAACTCAGCTAAAAACAATCAACATCGGAACAGAGTCACTTACTATGCCATGACAACAAATAAATAAATTCCATAGAATCTGAAAAAGAAAATTTCCAAAAAAAAAAAAATCCAAAAAAAAAAAAACAAAGTAAAAGGAGTCGAATAACAAGTAGATTCCCCATCTTTTAACAAAATCCCTAAAAAGTAAATTTCTAAAAGGTTTCCTTTTTCAGCTGATTCACTTGAGAGAATCATTAACACACTACCAAATTCAAACAAAGTCTCTATCACAGTAAAAAGTAACAAGCAGATGGTCTATCTTTGCGCCTGGTCCCATGCGAAATTCTTAGTGATTGCTTTTTCAGCCGATTTTTAAGGAAAGTGAATTACAAATGACATTTTTGAAATTATGGACCGAAATAGTAGGAGTTTCGGTTTGAATCATTTGTATGAATATTCTATTAAAAAATTTGTATATCATTTTTTAATTTTTACAGTAATGCTACAGACCCCCAATTGGGGTGACCCCAGTGCCACGGTCAGCCTGGGGTGGCTGGAAACTCAAAAAAAAAAAAAAAAAAAAAAAAATTGTTTTTTTGGACCAATGGGAAGGGATCCCAGTACCCCACTGGGGGTCCAAAGCTTTATTCTAATTTTTAATAGTAGATATACGCTATATGTTATATGAATTTTTCAAAATTAATCAAATATTCGTATTAGACACAGACACTTGAACCAAGGGTGTGGAATATGTATATGATAGTTTTCATCCAATTATTATTATATTTATGTATTATTGTATAATTGCTACACAACGGGTAAAATGTCTTTTTGATACAGGGGTGTTTGGGAAGCCAAGTTTAGGCTTTTTTGGTATTAAAATTTACAAAAAGACAAAATAGGTTATAATAACTAATAAGATAAAATGTCACATCAAACTCATAATCATTTCATTTTTTTTCTTACAAACATCACATCCAGCTACAAAAAAATCCAACCCGCTTTCCAAATACAAATATTTTAGTATACTAAGATAGCCAAAAATTAAAATAGCCTACAAAAATAGCCAACTTCCTAAACGAGACCATTACATATAACTTCATTTTATCTCACATAATATATAAAAAAGGGACTGGCTTCCTCCCATCCCAAATCGGACTAGAGGATACTATTGGGCCAGTGAGGGGCTCACCACGGATTCTGTTTCGATAATCCGAACCGTTCAATGTGTACAACTCGTCAAGTTCTATATGTTTGTAAAAAATCACGTTGATCGGATATCAAAAGCTATTTTATCGGATCAGATTTCCGTCAACTGTTTATTTTTCACTGTCTATTTTTTTATACAAAACTGATTTGATCACATAGCTATCGATATCTGATCAACGTAATTTTTTTACAAACATATAGTAGTTGACGAGTCCTACACATTCAACGGTTCGGATTATTAAAAATGACTCATGGTAGACCCTTACGGGCACAACAATGCCCTCCAGTATCGGACTGAAAGGAAGCCCGACCCATAAAAAGAATATTAAAATAAAACCCTCTGAGTTTACATATCCTTAAATTTGAGATTTGATGGTGCCCAACACCCATACCCGAGTCCACGTAACATTAGATGCACACAAGAGGCAGGTGAAAAGCCCCTGAACAAGCTCTCCTAGAAACAAATTCACAAATCAAAAGTAACGGAATATCCTATGAAGTTATACAAAATCCAGTGCAAACGTAAAGGCAAAGAATCAAAAAGAAATTTACTAGACATTTGTCCATTTTCTCAGGAAAAGCTAAAACACTTTTACGGCCAATTTTAGAAAGTGAGTTATAATCTACTTTTCAGATTATAAGTTACTTAAGCTGTTTATAAACAGCTTTTCACTAAAAGATTGATTATAACCATCTTCTCAAAATAGGCCTTCATAACAATATCATGAAATGAAAATTGAGAAAAAAGGGAACAAACAGAAAGCACTCTGCTGCTTGTTTAGAATCTAAAGAGAAATTAACGATTAGATTTTTCCTAGCCGATTCTGTTTCAAATAGACTTTTAATACCCACTGTTTTATCAGCAACCAAACAGAGTTTGCAAGGGATTTTTAAATAAATAAATAAATCTTTAAGTAAACAGGGGGGCAAGGACAAGGGTCAGATCCTGTGTTTGTTTCCCAAGAAAAATAGCTCAAAGAAATTTTTTAAGGAAAATCTTTTAGGTAAAACAAGGACAAGGGTCCGATTCATTGTTTGTTTCCCAAGAAAAATAATTCAAATAATTTTTTTAAAAAAAAATAGAGAAGGGGGAAAAAATCCACTTATATTCCTTAGCCAACAAGAAAATAGAATTATTATTATTTTATTTTCTTTGTTTATTTTCGTATGAAAAAGTCAAAATTAAAAAGAAACAGCTTCATCAAGCAATTTCAAACAAAACAAAACAGAGAAGCTAGATTGTAGCGAAGATTCATTTATCAATTCATAAAAAATTTAAACAAAACTAAATTTCTTCAAAAAGCTCTGATAAAAACCCACTTATGATCAAACAAAACCCATCTAAACCTTCACGCATACAACTCAAAAATCTTCAATTAAACGAAACTAATTTTCATCAAAGATTCAAAGAATCAAAATCTCTGATAAAACCCATTATGATCAAACAAAACCCATAAAAAATCTTCACCCATGCAACTAAAAAATCCTCAAAACACAGCAAAGAGAAAACAGACAACAAGAAATCAAAAAAATACCTTTTTTTTGAAGCTATATAGTTCACAATCTGAACAAAAGCTCTGTGGTTGTGGTGGTGATGAGCTTGTTTTTATAGATGTTTTTACAGAGAGAGCGAGAGAATCTATTATATGTTGATTACAGAGAGAGAATACAACAGTTTTATAAGGAGAGATTGGGCTATGGAAATGAGTTCTTTCTAGGATAGTTCAGATTAGAGAGAGAGAGAGAAAGAGACGTGGAAAATGAGATAATCGTTTTTAACCAAGAATATGGCATTGATTATGAGGAGACATTCTCTCCTGTTGCTCGGCTTACATCTGTTCGCAGCTTACTTGCTGTTGCTACTGCTTGCCACTGGGGGCTCTTTCAGATGGATGTCAAAAATGCTTTCCTCCATGGTCATCTCCTTGAGGAGGTCTACATGCAACCTCCACCTGGGTCCACTTTTCCCCCTCATCAGGTTTGCAAACTACAGTGTGCTCTCTATGGCCTCAAGCAAGCACCTCGTGCATGGTTTGCTACGTTCAGTTCTACCATTCATGATTTTGGGTTCACCTCTAGCTCCTATGACTCTGCTCTTTTTATCCGGACTACTTCTCATGGTACCACTCTTCTTCTTCTGTATGTGGATGATATGATTATCACTGGTAATGATGAAGCTGGTATTCTCCACCTCAAACAGTTTCTCCACAGCCAGTTTGAGATGAAGGACCTTGGTACTCTTAACTACTTCTTAGGCCTTGAAGTCTCTCATGATTCTACTGGTTCCTATTTGTCCCAGGCCAAATATGCATCCGATCTTCTGACTCGAGCTGGTCTTACTGATTGCAAAACTGCCTCTACTCCGATTGATCCTCAGATTCGTCTCACTCCTCTCGATGGGACTCTTCTCTCTGATGCTACTCTTTATCGCCAGCTCGTCGGCAGTCTTGTCTATCTCACAGTCACTCGTCCTGACATTGCCTATGCTGTTCACATTGTCAGTCAGTACATGTCAGCTCCTCGCACTCCCCACTATACTGCTCTACTCCGCATCCTTCGCTACCTAGCATTATGTTAGTGCATTATGTTAGTGTAGCATTATCATGTTAGTGTAGCATTATGTTAGTGCATTATGTTAGTGTAGCATTATGTTAGTGCATTATGTTAGTGTAGCATTATGTTAGTGCATTATGTTAGTGTAGCATTATGTTAGTGCATTATGTTAGTGTAGCATTATGTTAGTGCATTATGTTAGTGTAGCATTATGTTAGTGCATTATGTTAGTGTAGCATTATGTTAGTGCATTATGTTAGTGTAGCATTATGTTAGTGCATTATGTTAGTGTAGCATTATGTTAGTGCATTATGTTAGTGTAGCATTATGTTAGTGCATTATGTTAGTGTAGCATTATGTTAGTGCATTATGTTAGTGTAGCATTATGTTAGTGCATTATGTTAGTGTAGCATTATGTTAGTGCATTATGTTAGTGTAGCATTATGTTAGTGCATTATGTTAGTGTAGCATTATGTTAGTGCATTATGTTAGTGTAGCATTATGTTAGTGCATTATGTTAGTGTAGCATTATGTTAGTGCATTATGTTAGTGTAGCATTATGTTAGTGCATTATGTTAGTGTAGCATTATGTTAGTGCATTATGTTAGTGTAGCATTATGTTAGTGCATTATGTTAGTGTAGCATTATGTTAGTGCATTATGTTAGTGTAGCATTATGTTAGTGCATTATGTTAGTGTAGCATTATGTTAGTGCATTATGTTAGTGTAGCATTATGTTAGTGCATTATGTTAGTGTAGCATTATGTTAGTGCATTATGTTAGTGTAGCATTATGTTAGTGCATTATGTTAGTGTAGCATTATGTTAGTGCATTATGTTAGTGTAGCATTATGTTATTGTTCATAGGCATCCAAGGCATCCTCTATAAATAGAGTGCCTTCTTTGTGTAATAGACATGTACAATTCATAGAAACAATTGTGCCTCTCTCTCTCTCTCTCTCTCTATTCGCTCATCTCTATCTTCTCTCACTTTCTCCAATTATTATTTCAAAGAAAATAAAAAGAGGGACGGCAGAGCATTTTTTTTTTTAGGTGTTGCAAAAAGTAGAACAATAAAAATAACTGGCAAAAGCCTGCTCGAATTGACCATGCTTAGTTCCTGTTTATCTCTATCTATCAAAAATAGACCCTCTTTGAAGCGGAAAAAGATCATTTTACAATCACAAGCAAAGAAAAAAAATCTTCAAGGAACAAGTTCATTTCTTTTTTCCTTATACAATAGCTGGACTTTTGAAACATGTCTTCAAAATCCACAATCTCTAAAACTTTTTACAAATCTCACAAAACAACTTCCATTTTCTATAAAAACAAGTGACGGATGACTTAAACGGTTTACACGTTAAACTGTGATTTTGAAGCTGTACTTGAATTTCAAAAGCTGTTCTAGGTTTGCTAATGTTGTGTTTGGTTGAGGGATTTGAGGAGGGATTTGGAAAGAGAAATAGAAAAAGTAGGTGAAATGTGAAAAAAATATGTTTACATTTCACATAGTTTCACACACCTTTTCCCTTTCTCTTTCCAAATCCCTCCCAAAATCCCCCAACCAAACACAATGATTGTTAGTAAAGAGATTGTTAATTAGTGGATTGTTAGTGAGAGGATTAAGTAAAAGTGTGTTTGTTTTGATGATAGTATAGGAGATGATTAGTGATGGGATTGTTAAATTATTTTTATATAAATAAATAAATAAATTATTTCTATATTAAAAAAAACTAAAACAAATATTAAAACAAATAGGTGCACTTGGTAAAAAAAATAAATTTAAAAAAATAAATTTTTTATATAAAATAGACTCAATCCCTTCACTATTTTCCTAATTCCACCTAAAATTCATCCAAGTTAATCCCCCCTACAGAGGGGATTACTAAGCCTCCTTCACTACTAATCCTATGACATTTTGTTGCATCCAAACAAGGGTTTGGTGGATCCCACGGATTGGTAATCCAATCCACCCTCCCAAACCCCCAATCCAACATGGCCTAATGTCATACATGTCTTAGAGGCAACTAATCACAAACAAACAAAATTGAAAATTTTAAAAGTAGGCTGAAGAGAAACAAAAAGAAGAGACTAGAAAAAGGTACTAAGCATTAAAAATAAATAAATAAAAGAGCTTATCTACAATAATTTCAGATTTTGGAAGTCTTAAACAATGTTAAACCTCAAATAACCAATGCCAGATATGATCATTTTTCTCACACAGACAAAGAGAACTGAGCTAGAAACAATCAACATTGGAACAGAGTCACTTACTATGCATTAATATAACAATAAATAAATAAATTCCATAGAATCTGAAAAAGAAGATTTCCAAAAGGTTTCATCTTCAAAGGTGTCAAAACTGAGAAAATTTCAGCATAGTAAAATTGTTTTTCTCAGAGGTAAAATAAAAATAAAATAAAATAAAAAAAGAAGGGTAAAAGGAGTCGAATAACAAGTAGATTCCCCATCTTTTAACAAAAACCCTAAAAAGTAAATTTTTAAAAGGTTTCCTTTTTCAGCTGATTCACTTGAGAGAATCATTAACACACAACCAAATTCAAACGAAGTCTCTATCAGAGTAAAAAGTAACAAAAGAAAACCACAAGCAGATGGTCTCTCTTTGCGCCTGGGCCCAAGCGAAATTCCTAGAGATAGCTTTTTCAGCCGATTTTTAAGGAAAGTGATTTACAAATGACATTTTCGAAACAACAATGATAGAGACCACTAATTTTAGAACTCTAAAAAGACCACTAATGACATGACACTCAATAAAAAAAGAAAAAAATACAATACAAAGGCCAAAATATCAAATCATTCATGATGGAGCCCACTGCCACATCATTAGTGATAGCACTAATTAGTCATCCCACTCATTTTCCTTTTCGAAATTATGAACCAAAATAGTAGGAGTTTCGATTTGAAGATACTGTATCATTTGTATGAATATTCTATACCAAAAAAAAATATTTGTATATAATTATTCAATTTTTAGTAATAGATATGCACTATGTTACATAGACTTTTTAAAATTAATTAAATATCCGTATTGGATACCAAACACTGAGTGTGTGAAATATGTGTATGATAGTTTTCATCGAATTATCATTGTATATATTATTATATAATTGCTATACAATGAATAAAATAACTTTTTCACATGATACATTACATATAATTTCATTTTACCTCACATAATATATAAAAAGTATTAAGATAAGACCCCTGAGTTCACATATGGTTAAATTTGAGATTTGACAGGTGTCCGACGCTCGTAACCAAGTGCGTGTAACATTGGATACGCATACAAGCGGGTAGGCAGGTGACGACCCCCTCAACAAGCTCTTCCAGAAACAAATTCACAATCAAAAGTAACAGAATATCCTATGAAGTACTACAAAATCCAGTGCAAAGGTAAAGGCAAAGAATAAAAAAAGAAATTTACCAGACATTTGTCTATTTTCTCAGGAAAAGCTAAGACACTTTCACATAACAATATCATGAAATGAAAATTGAGAAAAAAGGGAACAAACAGAAAGCACTCTGCTGCTTGTTTATAATCTAGAGAGAAATTAACGATTAGATTTTTCCCAGCCGATTCTGTTTCAAATAGACTTTTAATACCCACAGTTTTATCAGCAAGCAACCAAACAGAGTTTGCAAGGGATTTTTGAAAAAAAAATAAATAAATCTTTAAGTAAACAGGGGGCAAGGACAAGGGTCCGATCCTCTGTTTGTTTCCCGAGAAAAATATCTCAAAGAAATTTTTTAAGGAAACATTTTAGGTAAACAAGGACAAGGGTCCGATTCATTGTTTGTTTCCCAAGAAAAATAGTTCAAATATAAAATATAAAAAAAAAAAATTAGAACAGGGGGAAAATCCACTTATATTCCTTAGCCAACAAGAAAATAGAAGTATTATTATTTTATTTTCTTTGTTTATTTTCGTATGAAAAAGTCAAAATTAAAAAGAAACAGCTTCATCAAGCAATTTCAACAAAACAAAACAAAACAGAGAAGCTAGATTGTAGCGAAGATTCATTTATCAATTCATAAAAAATTTAAACAAAACTAAATTTCTTCAAAAAGCTCTGATAAAAACCCACTTATGATCAAACAAAACCCATCTAAACCTTCACGCATACAACTCAAAAATCTTCAATTAAACGAAACTAATTTTCATCAAAGATTCAAAGAATCAAAATCTC